GAGGCTGAGGAGGAGTGGGAGAGGTGAGTGAGCCCAGTAGGCCTGGAGGGAGGCAGGACCCAGACGGGAATTCCCAGCTCCCCAGAAGGGAGCTGAAACCATTGGAAACAGGGTGTGTCGTGATAGCTTTCTCTCTATCTGGGAGCTGCGTACTCAGTGGTCACCAAGCCAGACTCCACCAGGCCCTTGGCAGGGAGCTCCCAGTGCAGTGAGGGAGGCAGACCTGGAAGCATCAAGGACACACACGGCCCTGAGAGGGCTGGGGAAGGGTAGCTGAGCTGAGCCCTGGAGCAGGAATTGGCAGAGCAGGGGAGGGTCTCCCTGGCCCGCTTGGCTTCCACCAGGCAGGAGGGCTCCGGCTGGATCAATGACACACAAGGTATATATAATGTAAAATTGACCATTTAGCCATTCCTAAGTATCCCGTTCAGTAGCATTAAGTACATTCATACTGTTGTACAGCCATCACTGCTGTTCCCTCTCCAGAACTTTCTCATCTCCCCATCCTGAGATTCTGCCCCCATTAAACAGAACCTCTTTGTCCCCCTCCCCCAGCCCCTGGCTGCCACCATTCCACTTTCCATTTCTGAGTTCGACCTTTCTAGGGACCTCACTGATCAAGCAGTATTTGTCCTTTTGTGACTAGCGTATTTCACTGAGCACAATGTCTTTAAGGTTCAGGCATATTGTAATATATGTCAGTGTTTCCTTCTTTTTTTTTAATTAAAATACTTTTAATAATAAAAAGATATAAAATTTATCATCTTAACCATTTGTAAGTGTGCCCCTCGGTAGTATTAAATCTGCTCACGTTCTTGTGAGACAGAACCTCACCCCTTTTCCCACTATTGAGGAACCTCATGCTATTTGATACAATCCTAAGGCTCTCCGTAGCCAATATTTTTTAAAACGTTTTATCACCATGCTAAATGGAAACACCGGTGTCACATCTCATAAAAACAAAGGCACCCATCAACTACCATAAAACCACACGGACGTGAATACGTTGTAGCCAAGTTCTGCCTGAGAAAGGTCCTGAGCTGAAGAGAGATGCTGGGATGCCAACACCGTGCTGAGACCTTCTGCCTGAGGGACGCGGGGCAGAGAGGGAACGGAAGAAAGGCCAGCTCTCCCCCAGGGGATTTCAGGATCGCATTATCTGGGGTCACACCATCCTCAGATCACCTAACTCCTTCCTGTCTGTGGTTTCCCCTTTGGGGGAGCGGCTGGTGGTGATTGCAGGAGGAAGGCCCGGTTTGTGGAGCCAGGCCCCTTGTAACCCCCACTGCACCCCTCCCCCTGCCCCCAGGAGAAACAAAGTCCTGAACCACTTCAGCATCATGCAGCAGCGGCGGCTCAAGGATCAGGACCAGGACGAGGAAGACGAGGAGAAGGAGAAGCGCAGCCGCAAGAAAGCCAGTGAGCTGCGCATCCACGACCTGGAGGACGACCTGGAGATGTCGTCTGACGACAGCGAGGCCAGTGGTGAGGAAGGTGAGGCCGCTGGCACCCCCTGGGGGGCTGGGTCGTACTTTGTCAAGGTGTTTGGGTGATGACTCAGTTAATGCCGCTGTAGGAAAGTTTGGTCACTCACAGCCCGCTGGGAATGAGCACACGACAGAGCAGGGAGCACAGGCCACTGGGGAAGCCCCAAAGTTGGTAGGAGGCAGAAAGGAGTGACGACAGCAAGGTCTCAGTGGTGGCCTTCATCAGGGTTTCCACGGGATGGGCAATGCAGGGGTCGGAGGTGAACAGCTTCAGATCTGCCACTTCAAGTAATTCTGGCAAGCCCTGGGCTACAAGGGAGGCTTCTGGTTGTCGGTACCTGGTTTCCGGTCCTGGCGGCTGGAGGGAAGGAGATGATGGGTGTGAGTGTGAGAGTCCGAGAAAGGGAGTTAGGGGTGGAGACTTGGACTGGTCGGGTTTGCACGGGAGAGATGAGTCCTTGGGGGTGTCTCTGCCTGGTTAGCAAGGCCCCCGAGATGTCCAGACGTCCTTGGATATGCCGAACGGGATGAGGGCCAGCCTGAGCCCCGCTCTGCTTCCCCAGGTGGCCGAGCCTCCAAGGCCAAGAAGAAGGCACCCCCCGCCAAGGGGGGCAAGAAGAAGAAGAAGAAGAAGGGGTCCGACGATGAGGCGTTTGAAGACAGCGACGACGGGGACTTCGAGGGCCAGGAGGTAGACTACATGTCCGACGGCTCGAGGTGAGGCGGGCAGCAGGCGGGAGGCCTGGGCCGGGCCTGGTGCACTCGTTCCCTCACCCTGTGCCCGCCTTCTGTCTTCAGCAGCTCCCAGGATGAGCTGGAGGGCAAGCCCAAGGTCACCCAGCAGGAGGAGGGCCCCAAGGGCGTCGACGAGCAGAGCGAGAGCAGTGAGGAGAGTGAGGAGGAGAAGCCGCCAGAGGAGGACAAGGAGGAGGAGGAGGAGAAGAAGGCACCCACGCCTCAGGAGAAGAAGCGCAGGAAAGGTCGGTCCCCTCCCCGCTTCCCCGGGGCAGCCGGCCCCCCAACTCCCAGAGCCCCCCATCCGAGGTGGAGCTGGGGCGGGCGGGCTCCCCAACACCAACGCCCTGCCTCTGGCCCCAGCAGACAGCAGCGACGAGTCAGACAGCTCGGAGGAGAGCGACATCGACAGCGAGGCGTCATCGGCCCTCTTCATGGCGGTAAGGCCCAGCCTGGGGCCGGAGCGGGCAGGCGGCCACCCCGTGCCTGGACTCATGTCCCCAACCCCATCTCTGCAGAAGAAGAAGACACCCCCCAAGAGGGAGCGGAGGCCGTCAGGAGGCAGCTCGCGGGGCGACAGCCGGCCGGGCACACCCAGCACGGAGAGCGGCAGCACGTCGTCAACCTTGCGGGCCGCGGCCACCAAGCTGGAGCAGGGTGAGCGGCCACTGCCCCTCGCCGCCGTCCCCGCTGCGGTCCTTTGTTCTGCCTCCAGGGCAGAGCCCAGAGTCGGGCCACAGGCCTGTCCACACCCCCTCCCCGCCCCCTGCACAGGGGACCCTGGTCCCCCCATGCCCTTCCCCCGGGGGCACAGGACTCAGCCCTGCCCCTCCTCCCCCAGGCAAGCGGACGAACGACACGCCGGTGGCCAAACGTTTGCGGCTGGAGCCGGGACCCCAGAGCCTGTCAGGGAAGTCGACCCCTCAGCCCCAGTCCGGGAAGTCGACCCCCAGTAGCGGGTGAGTTGGCACGAGGGCTGCCAGGGCCGGGCCGGGCGTGGGGGAGCCTCCTGCTGAAGGCCACCCTCCCCGTGCCCCGCTCCTCAGGGACGTGCAGGTGACCGAGGACGCCGTGCGCCGCTACCTGACGCGCAAGCCCATGACCACCAAGGACCTGCTGAAGAAGTTCCAGACGAAGAAGACGGGGCTGAGCAGCGAGCAGACGGTGAACGTGCTCGCCCAGATCCTCAAGCGCCTCAACCCCGAGCGCAAGATGATCGGCGACAAGATGCACTTCTCCCTCAAGGAGTGACGGCCCAGCGCTGCCCAATAAACGAGCTCGGCTCCAGAACTTCCTGGGTGCTCGCCTCGTCCCTCCCCTGCGCCCCGAATCCCAGAGCCCCGCCTCTTCAGTTCCAGGTCACGTGGGGGTTTCCTGGGCGCCGCCTCACCCCGCACGGGCCCCTCCTGGAACCTTCCGCCGCACCTCCGAGCCCGCTCTCAGTCCTCAGCCTTTCGCATGTGGGGGTGGAGGGGGTATCTCTCGGGCTCCAGCTTCTCTGGTCCTGTTTTTGCTTATAGCTTATCCCCTTTCACCCACGAAGTGCTTCTCCAGCTCTCGAATTATCTTGGCTTCCTTTTCAGATCACCTCGCCTCTAAGGCCTTTGATCCCTTCTCTCACGTTTTTGTTTCAAGCATCTGTCTTGTTCTGGTCTCTGCCAGACGCCTGATTCCTTACCTGATGCCGCCTCACGATTGACTGTCGTGCTGTAGAACTTCGAATGGGGACCTGAGGCCGCCTCTGGGGCTTTGGGGGGGCTGCTGGGCAGTCAGCTTTGCAGGCAAATCCGCCGATGCTTTTGCCTTGGCTCCCACCTCCCACAGTGGTGGCCCAGGAGCCCTGGGCTGAGCCCGTGTTAGGTGGTTCTCAGCCGGTGGCCTCTCTCCCAAAGAGGCCCTGAAATCCCAAGCCCTTTTGTTGCTGCTGTTGGCCCCTGGGCCCTATTTTTCAGCTTTCCAGCGATGTTTCTAGGGCTCCCCGTATTTCTAATGACTCCATTATATTTCTATTTTATCTCGCATTGCCAGTGTTCTGCCGAGGGAAGGTTTTTTGAGTTTGTGGACAGTTTCCGTGCTGGAAATGGAATTTGGCTGCTGGCGCTCCTTCTGAACCCGTTCTGTGTGATCCGGCTGGGGGCGGGGGGGGGGGGGGGGGGGGGATGGGGGGCTTCTGTCTTGCTCGAGGATGGATGCTAGGTGGAAAACTTCCCCACCCAGTTCCACAGGCCCTTGGCCGCCGAGCAGGGATGCCAGAGATGACAGGCTAATTCCTAGGAATGTCCCAGGTCTGTCCAGCCTCCCTCCTCATCCTTCTGCCAGGTCTTTTTGGGGGCGTCAGGAAAGCAGGGTTGCCCTGGCCTGACGATTTGACCCCTGGCCTCCCTGCCATGCGACGGAGGGCTAAGGCCCTGGTGGCTAGGAGCCAAGGGCCTTCTGTGCGGCAGGATTTGGCTTCGAATGTGACTTTGGACAAGCGACAGTTGTCTGAAGGTGGTCTCAGCAGGTGCCACGGTAACCACACCAGCAAGACGCAGACAGAGTCGGGGGTCCGTCCCCAGCTCTGCTCACATGAAAAGCCCACAGTGGTTCCCGAACCCATGTTTCTCTGCTCACCAGTGCAGGACAAATTCCTGAGCCGGGGTTTTCCGGGGAGGAGAGAGGGGGTTGGCTGTTTCCGGAGCGAAGGCTCCCCCACTGGGTTTGTACCCCTCCCCGGCAGCCTGGGGTGGGGACCTGCGTCACATGCGTGCCCCCAGCCATGGGTAAATATGCTGGTTTCTGCTGTCCCCCCCCCCCCCCCCCAGGGCTGCAGGCTCCTACCTGAGCTCCCACCCGGTCTGACCTCCGTGAGATCGAGCAGCTTTTCAAGCGCTACCCAGGTTCTTCGTGCTTCTGAGGCCTCAAAGCAGGCTTGCCCTCCCAAGCTCCTCCCTCAGGCAGCGTGTCCCATGCTAAATGTGCCACCTGTCCTCAGAGCCTCGTGTGGGAAGGACCTGGGTTAGCCCCCTTTCACAGGTGAGGGAGGGCCTCCTTTCCCTGAGGTCACAGGGGCATGGAAGTCACTGGAAATTTCTGCTGCGTCTCAGAACCGGCGGGTATAACTGCCCCTCCTGCCCTAACGCTGGGAGGAGGCTGAGGTCCCTGGGACCTCAGGTGGGCCTTCTAGAGACAGGAGTCCCTGCGGGGTGAGCTTCCTAGCCTCATGTTCCGGTTCTTGGCTGTACCCCGGCCTCTCCCTTTTCCTGTTTTGACGCCGGCTGGGACAGGCCCGGAGACAGGAGCGTGAAGCCTTAATCCTCCAGGTGACAGCTCGGCTACCTGCTGACCTGTCCCCTCCCCCCCATCCCGCTCTACCTGGTGCACAGTGTGGGGACTCCAGACCCCAGGCACCCTGAGTGGGGATGGGGTCCCACTGGTGGGCTCTCAGTGGCCCGTCCAACTTCTTTCCAGAAGCAGGTGGGGCAGGGGACCCCGTGGCCCGCCCTGAGTTCGGCTCTGGCTGCCGCAACACTCGTAAATCAGGGGTGAAGGGGGTGTCGGAAACAGGTCTGCGGAATGTCTGGATGGGGCGGGGAGGGGGTGAACGCTTAACTCTTGGAGGCACAGTGGGTGGGGCAGAGGAACCAGTCGGAAGACATAGGACAGTGTGTGCTGCGGGACATGGGGGTCATCCTGTGGTTACAGCAGCGGCAGCGAAGAGGTGATTCCACCCCCCACCCCCACCTCGGCCCTGCCTTGGCAGTGGGATAAATTGAGGGAGCGAGGCCTCCCCACCATCAGGACCCACCTGTCACTATGGGCACAAGACGCGTCCTGCTCTGCTCTCTGCTGCTCCTATCGCTGTGGCTGGGCCTCACCGGGGGCCCTGGTGTTTGGGGGGCTCCGGTGGCAGAGGAAGAGCTCCGAGGGACCCCAAGGCTGCAGCTGGGTAAGGACACCCTGGACCCCATGTGACTCCCTGACTCCCTCCCGCCCAGACCCCACTAGCTGTCAGCTGCCCCTCTGTCCTCCGCAGGGGCCCGCCTGCGCCGAGCCCTGGCCACTCCGTGCCAGCTGTGGAGCCTGTCCCTACCCGTGGCCGAGCTGGGTCTGGGCTATGCGTCAGAGGAGACGGTCGTCTTCCGCTACTGTGCAGGCAGCTGCCCCCGTGATGCGCGCACCCAGCATGGCCTGACGCTGGCCCACCTGCGGGGCCAGGGCCGAGCCCACGGTGGGCCCTGCTGCCGGCCCACCCGCTACACTGATGTGGCCTTCCTTGACGACCGCCACCACTGGCAGTGGCTGCCCCAGCTCTCGGCGGCCGCCTGTAGCTGTGGCGCCTAAGGACGCCTGGCTTGGGGCCCCCCCGAGGCTCCTGGAGGAGCTCTGCTGACTTATTTATTGGAGACCAGAGGGGAGGTGTGCCGGGCAAGGAGCATAATAAAGGAACTGCCGCCGCATGACTGTGTTCAGTGCATGATTGTGTTCAGCCCGAGTGCGCCTTGCCCCGGCCACCTCAGCTCCCAGAGTGGGGAGGGGTTGGGGGAGGGGGGTTCCTGGGCTTCCCTGGCCCCGCTCAGCCCCTGAGAACAGCCAGTGCAAGCAGGCCAGTCTGTCCACACTCCAAGTTTATTCACCGACATGGTGTCTCTGAGAAGTTGGGGAAAGAGCCGGGGGTTCAGCAGGCTGGGGGCGGCTGCCCCGAATCCCCTAGTCCCATCCCTTCAGGGAGGGAGCGGCAGATCACAGAGATGCGTCGGCCCCGGGGAACCCGACGCGCCCCAAAAAAGGACTCTTCATCCCGAAGAATCTCATGGGAGAAGTCATAACGGGCTGAGCCCCTGCAAGAGAAAACAGGCTGTGTCTGGATGGGGTGAGGGCGGCCCACCACCAGGTGGCCTGCCTGCCACAGGGGAATGCTCGTGTCTGCTGGGAGGGCTGAAAAGAGAAACATGCTAGGTGGACATCTGAGGAGTTACTAGGGGGAATGGGGGCCCCTTGGCTGGGCAGTACCTAAGGATGTAGAGGGAGCCTGGCTCCAGCAAGAGTTCCAGCCACTCCCCTGGCTCCTGGGTGTGCACCAGCCGCATGACGCTGGGAGATAGTAGGGACAGACCAGCGATGGTGGCTCCACAGAACTGGAAGAGCGGGCATGACGGCCAATCAACCTCTGGCCAATCAACCCCACCGGCCCATCCCCATCCAAGGCTCTGGCCTCTGCCCACCTTGATGCTGTCCACGTGCGGCTTGATGTAGCCCCGAGGTTCCAGGTCCAGCACATGCACTGGGGACAGCAGGGTCTGGCCAGGGCTAAAGGCGGCTGCTTGCACGCGCTGCAGGATGGCCCGGCTTGCCTCGGACCAGCGTGACTTTTCTGTCTCTCGGAAACCGTGGATGGCCTGCACAGAGAGCTTCTGTCAAGCCAGGAAGCTCGCAGAAGGAACAGGGAAACTGAGGCACGGGTGGGGGGGTGGGGGGAGGGCAGAGTGCAAAGAACTGGCTTTCCCAGCATGACCCTTGACACCACCCTCAACTTATCACCTTGGTCCTACCTACCCTAAGATCCTGGGTCTCAAACCCCAACCCCTGTCCTACTAGGCCCGGCCTCACTCCTCTGTACCTGCCTTCAGGTTCCAGTTCAGTCCCAGAGCTTGTCCCCAGTGCTGGTCCCACCGAAATGTTCAATTTTGTTTGTCTCCGCCCACAACTGATTCACTCGTCTTCTGTCTCCGCCCCCAACCAATGAACCTCCCTCTTCTCGCTCCACACCTGTTTCGGCTCCTAACGTTGCTCCTGTCCCCCACACACCCCAGAGTTCCAGGTCAGGGATCCAGCTATGGCCAAGCCCTCATCTCCGCCCGCAAAGGCCCTGGGCATCAAGACCCGGCACCCAACCGTACCCCTCTACAACCCAGCGCTCCACCCCCGTGCCGACCTCTAACGCCGCAGGCCCCGCCCCCACCGTAGCCCCGCCCCGCGCGCCCCCGGCGCCGCCGGCCTCACCGCGTCCCAGTGGTCGTATTCGTAGCGGCGGCGGCGCAGCTCGGGCTCCAGCTCACAGCTCAGCGTCTCCTCCTCGGCCGCGCTTAGGAAACCCGGACGCACCACGGCCTCGTCCCGAAGGCGGCTCAGTACGGCCGGGCTCGATCCCCGAACCCAGCCGGGTACCGGCAGCTTCCCCAGCGCCAGCCGCCCACTCCCGGCCATAACCCCGGGGCCGGGTCGTGAAAGCTGTCGGAGTCAGGGCTACGCCCCCGCCCCGGAGCCATTGGCTGTGGCCTCACGGAGTCCCTCCAATGATTGGCCTTCCCCAGAGCCCCGCCCCCCCGGCCAAAGGCTACTGGCTGCTGCTCAGCTCGCCCTCTCAAGCTATTGGCTCCCCAGAGAACCCGCCTCCTCTCCCGCGCTGTGGGCGCAGTGGGCGCAGTGGGCGCAGTAGATGGTGGCGGCCGGGGCTGGGCTCAACGGCGGAAGGCGCCTAGGGCGTGACGTCAGGGGCTGTGGGAGGATTTGGTCCAAGGCCCGGGTTGTGGGGTCGGCCAGAACTTTAGATTGAGGGAAAAGTCCGCTGAGAGGAAGGGGTCAGGGGCACGGGGTCCAGGGGAGTGACATCAAGGCCATGATGTCAAGGTAGAGGTTGGGGTCAAAGTTTGAAGCCAAGCATCACCTGTTCCTGCTCTCGTCTGCGTCATCCCTACCTGTGTACAAACGGCCTGGCTCCCACCTTATAAGTAAAAAGCAACCCCCCAAACCCTCCTCTTGCTTTAAGGGTAGGATTGACATAGCACCACTTTGCAGCCTTTACTGGAATATTTAGTGATCTAGATACGGATTGTCATCAGCCCCTAACGTCACAAAATGAGGGACCACGACCCTTTGGGGGCCTTCTGATGGACGGACACACCTCCACTTAAGAGGCCATTTGCCAGAAAGCGGAATCTGAACCCGACCAGACTTGTCTAGGTTTATACGTCAAGTCACAGGAAATATCAAGGACAGACAGAGGTCACAGCCGGTCCTGATCCCATCATCAAAATTCAGATGGGAAGTCCACAAGACCAACGGCTGAATTTCAAGGAAAGAGAAGAAAAAGAGGGAGAGATTGAGAGAGAGATGGAGGAGAAAACCCGCAGTTAAAAGAGGCTTCGGGAAGCATCAGTCAGTTGCAAGGTATGCGCCTTACCTGGAGGGGGATTCGAACAAACTAGTAACATAGAGGCAACTGGGGAGATGTGCACACTGGTTGGATTTGGGATGATTTTGTTTTGGGGGGGATGGGGTTTTGCAAACGGTATTTTGGTGGCCTTTTTAAAGATTTATCTTTTTAGAAATGCATGTTGAAATATTGACCCCACGATTCCTCCGGGGACAGCCACACATTCTCTGCTCTCCTTATACAATGACATTTCTTGAAAAATGTGTCGAGCTCCCATGTCTTCCCACCCCTTCCCTCTGGGTGCACACCAGGCTGGCATTCAGCCCCTACAACCCTGAAGGTGGGGTTCCGCTCATTCCGTCAGTGACTTCGCTGTGCCAGATCCAGCAGCCGGTTCTCAGGCTGACTGCTGGTTTATTGACATACCCAATGATGTCTTTTCCATTTTCATTCTCAATCCTGACCCCAGATTTATCCCCCCCCCCCACCCCGGATGTCTGAGGCACATCAAGCACCAGAAGTAACATGTGTCCAAACTGGACTCCTGATCCCCTGCCCCCACACCTGCACCTTCTGGCAGCCTTTCCACCCATCAGCTCTGCCTTTAAAACCTGGCTTGAATCCGACCTCTCCTGGCCACCCAGCTGGGGCCACCAGCTTTCATCTGATTATTCCGAGTCTCCGAACTCGTCTCCCGGTTTCCATGCTGGCTGCACTCCTCCCAGTACTCCGTGGGAGGCCATAGTGCTCCTGCTTTTTTGTTCTTCTCAGAACCCTCCATGGCTCATGTCCCTCTTTGCTCAGATCCACCAGGCCTTCTAAGCTCTGTCCTTCCTTTCTGTTCACATCTCTGCCTTGTCCCCCCACCACTTCACTTCAGCCACGAGCCTCCTCGGGGGCCCTCCCACATGACAGTCACAGTCCTGCCACAGGGCCTTTGCACTTGCTATGCCTGCTGCCTGGACTGCTCTGTCCTTCTCTTACCTTAAACCTTGTTCAAGCATCACTTTCTCAGCAAGGCCTTCACTGGCCACCCCACTGAAAGCTGTAACTCTCTCTCTCTCTCTCTCTCTCTCTCTCTCACACACACACACACACACACACACACACACTCTGCATACCTCTTTCCCTGGTTTTTTAAAAAACTGTCTACCACCACAAGAGTAAGTTCTTTGAAGACAGGGAATTTTGTTTGCTCCAGAATATGTCGTGGTCTCTAGAATAGTGCCTGAAATATCCTTTCTGCTCAGTAGGGTTTGCTGCAGTTAGGGCTTGGAAGGTCAGAGCCTCAGGGCTGGGGTGAAGGCAGACGAGGCATCGTGCAGGGCACAGGTGTGCGTGCCACGGTGGAGCAGGCAGGGAAGATGACACAGACGGGGCTCAAAGACTACAAAGATTTAATTGAAAATCACAGTGTCTCATTCAAGATACCTGCCCTGAGGGGCAGCCCCAAACCCAGAGTTCCTCCTGGGGCCCTTCCAGGCTCAGCAGCGAGGGGTGGGCAGGGCTGCAGCTCCAGCTTCTGACTAGCACCTGGCCTCCCCCGACTCTCCTCTGAAGGGTGAGGTCTGGCTCTCAGATGCTGGCAGGGGCGGGCTCTGCTGTCGTCACCGCCCCCACAGGCTCCTTCTGCACCAGCTCGGGCTCATCCTCACCGTCCTGGGGAGGGTGGACCAGAACCTTGTCCAAGATGCCAAACTCCTGGGCCTCCATGGGGCTCATGTAGCGGTCCCTCTCCATGGCCGACTCTGCCAGGGGAAGCGAGAGGCAGGGTGGGTGGGGTTAAAGCCGGTCGGGGGCCCTGTTCTATCCCTTCTTCGCCGGGTGACCTTGCCTTTCCCCTCTTGGTACCTTAGTTTCCCCATTGGTAAAATACCCATTCCATTTTTCTTTTTTTACTGGTTCCTGATGTCTAATACACATCCAGATGCAAGTGGACAGTGTGAAATTTCAGTGTGAATTTCACATACCCACATGGCCAGCACCCAGACTGAGACAGGGGCCAGCCCCAGATCCCCAGCTGCCCCTGGGGGGAGCCTCCTTCCAGTCACTGACTCCTCTGGCGCAACAGTAACCGCTAGCCTAATGGTGGCATGACGGCAGAGATAAGCATGCTTCTTTTTGTTTTTAAATATGTGGAATCAGAGTATTTACTCCTTTTTCCTACTCGGCACTCTGTGTCCGAGATTCAGCCCAGCTACCGCGTGTCGCCATGGCCGGGTCTCTGTCGTTGCCTTGTGGGACTCCACGGCGTAAACTAAGCATGAATGCGCTCGCCGTGCTGCTGTCGGGAATGGGGGTGTCTCCCGGCGTGGGGCTCCCGCACACAGGCAGTCGGGACGACAGTCGGCATGCCCATCTGCAGCTTTGGTGGACATAAGCACCCACATCTGGTTGCATGCAGAGTAGGGGAACCGGGGCGTCTGGAGCCTTATGAGCCCAAGCGGGGGGTGTCAGACGGCTTTCCTCTTCGCTCCCGCCCGCCGCGGGTGAGTGTTCCAGTTCCACATTCTCACTGGTGCCGGGTGTCGGGTTCTGGATGTTAGCTCTTCCGGTGGATTAAAATGGTATCCCCCTGGGCCTTAACTGGCCTTTCCCTTGACTAATGATGTTCTTTTGTAAGAAACAGATGCGCAAGGGGTGCCTGGGTGGCACAGTCAGTTAAGCGTCCGACCCTTGGTTTCAGCTCCAGTCGTGATCTCAGGGTCGTGGGATGGAGCCCCTGTGTCGGGCTCCACGGTCAGTGTGGAGTCGCTCCCTCTCCTTCTGCCCCTCCCCCCATGTACTCTCGAAAATAAATAAATCGGGGTGCCTGGGTGGCTCAGTGGTTAAGTGGCTGCCTTCGGCTCAGGTCATGATCCGGGCTCCTGGGATCGAGCCCCGAGTCGGGCTCCTTGCTCAGCAGGGAGCCTGCTTCCCCCTCTCCCTCTGCCTGCTACTCTGCCTACCTGCGCGCTCTCTCTGTGTGTCAAATAAATAAATAAATAAATAAATATTTAAAAAAAAAAAAAAAAGGTTAAAAAAAAATCTTAAAATATGTATATATATATATATTATGTGTGTGTGTGTCTGTGTGTGTATATATATGGGCAATTTTACTTATTTAATTTTGAGTCATCTCCACGCCCAACATGGGGCTTGAACTCCTGACCCTGAGACCAGCAGTCACATCTCTCCCGACTGAGCCAGCCAGGTGCCCCTAATGATGTCATTTTAAAATATCGTCACTAAAGATGATGAGTATCTTTTCTTATATTTCTTGGCAATCTAGAATATTCTTTATTGAGGACAGTGTTCAAACCTTTGACCCGTTTTAAGCGAGTTTTTATGAAGATTCTGCAAACTGGTCTTTTTAAAGTGCTTAGGAAAGGGGATTTCCATTGGAGGTTGGGGACACTGGGTGACATCCGGGGGCAGCTTTGGTTGTCGCAAACAGAAGGTGCTGCTGGCATTCAGTGGGTGGTGGCCAAGGACGTGGCTCCATGTCCCACAGCGGCCAGGACAGAGGATGGTCCAGCCCTGAGGGTCAGCGGTGCCAGGGTCGAGAGGCCCTGGCTTGGCACAAGTCCTGCCACACGTGTGTGCGTTGGTTAAAATAAAGGAGGGCAGGGGGCGCCTGGTGGGGGGCACTCACCGATCACCTGCAGGCTCTGTTTGGTGTGCTTGGCGTAGATGCCATAGAGCTGCTTCTTGAGTTTCATGATCTCTTCTGCCTGGATGGCGATGTCTGTGGCTTGGCCCTGAGGGTACGAAGGAGAAGGTCACAGTGAGCATCAGCCACTTGCAGGGAGGCCGGAGAGAGCGTTCAGACTGGCGGAGCGGGGCTTTTCGAGGCCCACACACCCTGCAGCATCTTTGCCCCTACCAGGAAGGCTTCCTGTATTTTTATTTTTTAAGATTTTATTTATTCCTTTCAGAGAGAGAGAGATGAGGTAGGGGCAGAGGGAGACGGAGAAGCAGACTCCCCACTGAGCAGGGAGCCCCATGCGATGTGGGGCTCGATCCTGCGACCCCAAGACTGTGACCTGAGCCAAAATCAAGAGTCAGATGTTTAGCTGACTGAGGCACCCAGGCACCAGAACGCTTCCGGTGTTAACTGTATTTTCTGCACGTGGAGCCTC